CTTGCTTCCTCCTCTTGGCGAAGCCGCTCGGCCTCGGCTTGCCTTGCAGTCTCTTCTGCCAAAGCCGTCTCCTTCGCCACTCTCTCTTCCTCCTCCTTGCGCAGCCGCTCGGCCTCTGCTTGCCTGGCAGCCTCCTCTGCTAAAGCTGTCTCCTTCGCCACTCTTGCTTCCTCCTCTTTCAGCAATCGCTCGGCCTCTGCTTGCCTTGCAGCCTCTTCTGCCATAGCTGTCTCCTTCGCCGCTCTCTCTTCCTCCTCCTTGCGCAGCCGCTCGGCCTCTGCTTGCCTTGCAGCCTCTTCCGCCAAGGATTTCTCCTGCCCCCCTGCTGCGCCTCCTCCTCCTCCCCCTGCACCGCCTTTCTCTTCCTTAGCTTCGGGAGGCTCGGGACTGTACCTTCCTGAATAGTGTGGTAACTAATTAATGGCAGCACCATGACTATGAGGTTCTTACTTCTGCAGCTTACGAAGGGTCGCATCTGGCGCCCCCGTTCTTGATGCATCGCACTCCTGCGGCAGGCCGCGGGTGTTGTTGGGTAGAAATCGTGCTCTCTTCAGTCAGAGTTCCGCGCTCGGACTCAGTCGAAGTCGCTTAAGTCCCAGCGCGGCAAAACTACGTCGGTCGTTCGTGAGGTCTCGGAAATCAATGTTGTGCTCCCACCAGTGCTGTGCGTATGTCGGGATGCGCGTGGTCTTCGCGACAATCGTTTGCGTATCCGTGTTCCCTGCCACACTGCCGTGCGTGCTCCCTGCCAGAGTGCCGTGCACGTTGCGGCTGCGATATCTGCGGTGCCTGCGCTGCCTACGCTGGTGTGCCGGTCGTGCTCCCCCCTATACCGCCACAGTGCAGTGCACATCTTGGACTCATGGGGTCTTGAGAGATTTTGGGAGCCTCGGATGGGGCTCCTAGCATGGTTGTCCCCAAGGTATTTTGATTGCTGTAACACACCATACCAAAACTTGAAAGACTGCTCATGCTTGTCCCCAAGCATTTTTGCAACAAACCATACCAAAACTTGAAAGACTGCTCTCAAGAATGCCTAGCTTCCCCCACTTCGAAGATACACTCGGCCGGTGCCGCGATCTCCCCTCCCACGTCGCCCTCGCCGGTGTCCGGAGGAGAATTTCGGGCAAGCTCGCCCGCTCTCTCTGCCTCCTCCTTGCAAAGCCGCTCAACTTCGGCTTGCCTCGCAGCCTCTTCGGCCAAGGCCTCCTCCTTTGCTCGCTCTTCCTTCCGAAGCCGCTCGACCTCTTCTTGCTGAACAGCTTCGGCCAGCGCCAAGGCCTTGTCCCTTGCCAGGAGCTCCGACTGCTGCCGGCGAAGCAGCTGCGCCTTCGCCTGGCGCTGTCTCGCTACGTCTTCTGCCTTCTGTGCTCTGTCAGCCGCTCTTTCGAGGACCGAGAGCACGGTCTCGCGGGCCAGTTGGTCGTCAGAGGGCATGGATTCCTGCCTAGGCGCCGCAGAAATCTCTTCTTCGAGGATCTGCGCGTCCTCCTCGAACCACTGGGGCGCGAAGCCTGCGCCAAACTGAACCCATCGCCAGCTTCCTCCCCCTCCTCCTCTTGTCCGTGCTTCGCTCTTCTCTTCCTCAGCTGCTCATGGAAGATCAATAAGCGATTCTAATTCCGTCTTAGACACAACACAACATTCCAAGACTTAGGGTTTCTGGGTTCTGCGTTAGCAGCAGAGCCAAGTAAAGCGATGCTTTTGTCAAAAACCGCCCAGCGTCCCCCACTTCGATGACACACTGGGCGGGAGGACCCATCTCCCTTTCGTCCTCGCCGGCCTCGATGTCCGGAGGAGGGCTTCCGGGGAGTTCGAGTATACCTCGGCGGGGCAGGCTCTGGGCTTCTTGAATGGGAGCTCCGTAGGGTTCAGCGTTTAGGAGTTCGGGGTTCAGGGTTTGGGGTTTAGGGTTGGATTTCAGGGGCCGCAGAAGGTGTAGGTGGGATTAAGGACCACTCTTTCAAAGGCCCTTGATAATGTTGGAATCCCCCACCCTCCTTCATCCTGCACGCGGAGCCCGTCAAGATTTAGGGTATCGGGCACAGGCGGAAAGCACAACTCTGCACGGGACGGCCGGGTTTCAGCCAGGACTCACGAAATTCAGGAACAGACCTGCAATCTTAATCCACCGTGGCCTTCAGCAGGGGGGGGGGGCCTTTTACTTGAGACTCAAACTTGGGGCCGGCTGTGTTTTAAGGCTCCGACGACTGCGGCTTTCGTCGTTTCTTTTTTGGTTTAGGAGTTCCGGCGTTTGCTTAAAGACGGAGTTTAGGATCCTACTCGCCTGATGCTGCTCCCTAGGGCCTAGATTCACGTCCTCAAAAGCCTTAATAACAAACGTCCCTACATAGCAGGCCTCTGTTTGAGCCTCATACACCCTCAGAAGCCCTCCCAGCCAGACCCCCCTAAACCCTCTACCCCCCCCCCCTTCCCCCCCAGACCCTAAACCCTAAACCCACAAAAAGACAACTTACCCAAAAACATGTCTCCCGGCTGCCCTCGGCGCTCTCCGGTCTCGGCGCCTGGAACAGTCTGCAAAAAAGTCGGGCTACCTCACAGATGGGCGTCCTTCTTTTTTTTTTGAAGGCTCTGTCTTGGCGGGTCTGTATTTTTGAGGCTATGCGGCTATGTATTGGTGGGTCCCTCCTTAGCCCTCCTTTTCTGATACGCCCATACTACCTAAACTCTAAACCCGAAAGCCCTAGACGCTAAAACCCCGAAAAATACCAAAATCTATGAAGCCCGAAAACCCAAGAAAGACTCTTAAGAGCGAGGTCCCTTGCCTTCTGAATCCCTAAACCCTACACCCCACCAAGAAATCCCAAACACTAAACCCAAAAAAAATCCTTTCAAAAACCCCTACACACCATAAACTCTAAAGCCCTGAACCCCTAAACCCCTAAACCCTAAAACCCTAAACCCCTAGACGCCCTGAACCCCCCTTCTTTTCGGTGGCTCCCCGCCTCCTGCAGCAGCGCCTTTGGGCGCTCCAAGGGCGTCGCAGGCCGGTCGTCGCTGGGACGACGCGGGTCCAAGCCGGCCTGGAGTAAGCTTTGGGCTCCCTCAAAGGCTAAGCCCTCAACCCTAAACCCTAAACCCTGAACCCTAAACCCTAAGACCCTAAACCCTAAACCCTGAACCCTAAACTAGTAAGCCCTAAACCCCAAACCCTAAACCCGAAGCCCTAAACCCCAAACCCTAAACCCAGGTCTACGATTTAGCGATAGGGTCCAGGGTCGGGGGTCAAGGGTTGAGGGTTTAGGATCCCTTTTGGGAAACTTTCGGGGTTTCCTTTGAGGGTTCCTTTCATGGGTTCCTGGAAGCGTCCTTTAAAGGGTCTATTTAACGGGCTCCTGGATGCTTGTCGAGAGTTCGAAGACAGCAGTTGAAGATGTTTGAGTGGAGGCTGCGCAATGGGATCCCTTCTTGTGGGGTGTCGTAGTCCCTTCGAAATATCCGATTTGTTGCAAATCCCCACTCAACCTCTAAGCTTCTGCGACCTGTACCGCTATAAACCCTAAACCCTGAACCCTGAACCCTAAACCCTACACTTCAAACCTTGCAGAGTCAACAAGGGGGCCGCGGGCCAAGGAATGAGAGCTTGTCGAGTCAAGGGTTTCAGGCTTTAGGGTTTAGGGTTTAGCGTTTAGGGTTCAGGGTTTAGGGTTTAGGGTTTAGGGTTTAGGGTTTAGGGTTTAGGGTTTAGGGGGGTGTTTGGGATTTG